TCTGGGAGGCCCAGGCGCCCTCTCCCTAGGGGGCAGGGTTCCAAGGCAGCCCAGACCCTGAGCAACAGAGAACAGCAGAGACTGGCAGGGGTGGATGGAGCAGCTCCGTGACAGCATGGCCCTACGGGATAGGCAGGAGCAGCAGTTGGCCTTGGGGTGGCAGGCCACCAAGCGGGGATAGTACGGCAATGGCAGGCTTAGGGATAGCAGTGTGCAGTGGCCCCCAGGGCAGAGCACGCTCCATCTGCTGCTCCTTGATGTACTCTGGCACTCTCCTTTAGTTATTTTCATCAGAATGTAGTTGTTTACTTGTGCTTTGGGCTGTCCTTGGGGGTAGGACAAGCACTAGGGGCTTCTAGTCAGCCATCTTGCATATGCCGTTTATCATTAGCTTTTGTCAAATGATAGCATGATGACTTTGCACACGTTTCTCTTGCTGGATAACGGGCTCCTTGAGGACAGTCTAATCTCTCTTACCTGAGTTGGTCCTCAATAAATGCTTCTAGAATGAAGAGTTGTGTGCACTAATGAGCTAATTAAGCAAATGAGCATTAGCAGCCTAACAGCCCTCTGGAAGGACAGATGGCTTCTGCGTTTGGAAGGAAGTGATTTGAGCAGTCACCAATAGATGTGGCCCAGTGCTCCAGTAATTCCTAAAGCCAAGCATTTGTTACTCCTTGCATGTTTCTATGGAACTGACTTTAGCTATTCTTCCATGAAACACCTGAGCTAAAAGAGGGACAATACAGACAACTATTGAATAGAAATTATTGAGTAATAAGGAACTTAAGACATTTTCATTTGCTAGCTGATGATTCAGTATCTGGAATGAAGCACACTATACCTAGAATATTCTAGAGCAGAGGCCAGCAAACATTTTTTTTTTTTAAAGACCAAATACTTGGGGTTTCCAGGCTTTGTTAAAACCACTCAACTCTTGTAACACAAAAGTATCAACGTATAATATGTAAACAATGAGGTGTGGCTGTGTTTAAATAAAACTTTATTTACAAAAGCAAGCAGTGGGCCAGGTTTGATCTGCATGGCCTTAGTTTGTCAGCACCTGTTAGAAAGTGCTGCATACTCCTTCATGTTCTTTTAAAACTATTATCATTTTTTTTTACTTTGTATAAGTATTTGTGTGGTACTTTATGAATATATTCAAAATTATTATCATTAATTAAAATGTATTTGTTATCCTGTTCTTTTTCTGCCTTTTTGATATGTCTATAAAAAAGGAATGACTTATTTTTTAAAAGCAAGATTTTGTTGTTGTTTTTCTTTGGTACTGGGGATCAAACTCAGGACCTTGTGCTTGTGAGGCATGCAGCAGAACCACTGAGCTACATCCCCAGCCCAAAAGCAGGATTTTTTTTCTTAATTATTTAGAAAGGTTTATATGGTCAGGGAGGGTAGGAGGTAGGTGTGCCCATAAAATATGGTTACTTGAAAGAGTGACATGGTCCTTTCCTAGATGGCAGTCATCTCCACCCTGTCACCAGTCCCTTCCTGCTCTGTCCCAGTCTGTCCCACAGCCAGGGCCCCTCCCACAGGACCCCATGCCAAGCCTCTGCTACCCTCCAGGCAGCCTGGCTGTGGGGCCAAGGTGACCTGCAGCTCTGTTCTCTCTTTTCTCTTTCTCTGAATTCAGTCTTGACACGAAGGAGTGAACTGTTCTAAAAACTCTGAACCTTTTCAGTTCCCTCTCCTAAGTACTGAGTTCACCCTTCAATTGGCAGCCTTGGGTACACTGCTCATTCCTTCATTCACCCTCCCTCAGTTGTCTTTGTCCCAAGGAAAAGCATCATGATGAGGTTGAAAAGCCACAGCTTTCTGTCCACCATATTTTTCTCCCCCAGGGATATATCTAAAGGGGCCCACATGAAATTCTGGTTAGAGTTTCACTTTCTTTTGACAAGAGAGCAAAGAAGTACTGTGCCAAACCAGGCACGCACCATGACTTCCTCTGACAATGTGGGCTTTAAAAAAGCAACAAACATTTGTTCATGTGATTATATCATGAATGGGGATCATGTGGAACACACAGGGCAAGTAGGCATGACGCAACATTATATCTTCTTGTTCAATATTGGAATCCTTTCCTGAGGACTCACACGGGGTCTGCTGGAGGAACAGAGGCACATGCCATTGGCCAGGTGCAGCTGATTGTTGAGACTTATAGTAAGGAACTGCCTATGGAGTCAATTGTCATCATTTGCTGATTCTGTTTTTCCAAACTAATGTACTCCATAAAATTGTTGCAATCCCTCAAATCATTGCCCATGGCACTTTCAGTCATTTAAGGACATGCACAGAGCAGTGAAAACTTTGAGTCCTAGACACATGTGTTCCCAGCTGAGGTGGAACAAGGTGACACTCTGCCTTCTTAGCTCTTGTTCTATAAACGGGCATGCTTTACAGGATCTGTGTGGTGTCATATTTTTTTTTTGAGCTTTTTATTGTTGACTTCATTGTTTAAAATGATCCTTTGGTGTAGCACTGCAGCCCTGTCTAATATAACCACACAAGAGAAGGCTGTGACGCTCCTTCGGGAGAACACGGGCTTGAGGGACAGTGCTGTGGCTGGGGACTCAGTGCCAATGAATCGATGATATAGAGCAAGCTGGGGGTGTGGAGGCACAACCCTGCAATGCCAGCACTCTGGGAGCCCAGGCCAGGAGGATCGAAAGCTCAAGCCCAGCCTGGGGAACTTAGTGACTTATTAAGACCTGGTTTCAAAATGAAAAATAAAAGGGATTGGGGATATAGTTCAATGTGAAGGCCCTGGGTTCAAGCCCCAGTACCATAAAGAAAAATAAATAATAGTAATAATATAGTACATTGAGAAAAAAGGAATAGGAAATACACCACTCTATGTAAGGCCACTTCAGGAAGTGCTGAAGTAACTATAAATCCATGGTAAGACTCAGGAAAAAAATATTTTAAAGTGGCTGAGTTTGTAAGCTCATAAGATGATGGGCAATTACAGAGAAAAAAGGTGTACTGGATGGTATTATTGTGAGACTAAAAGCCAAAGAAATTTATGGCCACATTACTGAGGCTTAGGAAATTATTAAACCCCTCCTGGCTAGTGTTTTATCATAAAGAAATACTGCATATAGTTTGTAGTTTACAAAAAGCAATTATTAAATAATATGTCTTTCAACAGATACACACATAAAACAAGGTTATGTACTGACCAGTTGACAAAACTGGTGACCAGATTTTCACCCGAACCTAAATGGTATATTTGCTCTAATAGCCGTGGCTCAGTATCCACTAATTCAGTGTTCACAGGAAGTGCATACAGAATAATTACTAAGAATAATCAGGTTCAACCGTATATGATCTCAGCCTAAGCCAAACAAATCATCCCCACTTCCCACAGTGAAGACAAGGCCAAGATTCATGCAGGCGCAGGGGCTCTGCTGAGTGTCTACAGGAACGGGCCTGGACCTCCTCGCCCAGCGGTGAGGTTCGTGGCCCCCCTGTGTCCTAAGTGTTGAGGGGAATTGAATGTATGCAGTGAGGCCCTGCCCCGCTCTGCAGCCCTCCACCACTTTCATCACTGAGTATTTTGCTGAAGGGGAGCCCTGGTATATTTATAAATTGCCTTGGAACTGAGCCATCTCGAGCCCAGCATCCCTGAATGGACACCTTAATTGGTCCCAGGTGGAAAGGAAAACACGAATGCAGCAGTTTCTCCTCCCCAAAGCCAGATGCAGGTCGTGTGGGAAATGGCCCGTTCTCTGCGGATGGTGGCCAGAGTCTCCCTCAGAGTCCACTGAGCTGGACGGTCCTTCTCCAAGGGGGTCTGCAGGGGAGATGAACATGAGGATCAGCTCCTCTTATCTGGCGTTACACACATGGCATGGAGATGCGAACATAGGGCGGGGGGCCCACAGGCTGCCTCCGCCTTTAGGATCAGAGTGGGCTCCAGGGAGAAGACACCTGTCGGCAGCTGAGGGGCTGAACACTGCTGGTGTGGTGAGCAGAGGCCTTTCCAAAGCCAGGCAAGAAACATGGTGGGGGCCAGGGATTTAGCTCAGTGGTTCCACCACCTCCCTCGCAAGTGCAAGGTCCCAAGTTCAATCCCTGGTACCAAAAAAAGAAAACAAAAAACAAAAAGAAAGATGGTGGGATTTTGTGAAAGGAAAAAGCATTCCTCTAGGTAGCTCATGAAACACCATCTGTAAACCCTGGGCCTATTTATCGCCATTTGTGATGCTGGGCCCACACAACAATGGCAAAGTTGTCACCAGAATCCTTTCTAGAAAGTTATATGTTCTGTTCCTGAGTATTTGGGCCTATGTCTGTTTCTTCACTTACCAGGAATATGAATACCTTTTCCTTTGCACTACTAAGTATAACATGAGAGTTAAGAGACAAAAAAACGATAAAGCGGTTGCATCTCCTTGCATGAAAACTTTTCATGTAGGGCCCAGGGCTTTAGCTCAGTCGTGTTGCCGCCTGCCTCGCAAGCACAAGGTTCTGAGTTTGATCCTCAGTACCAAAACAAAACAAAACAAAAAAACTTTGCATGTGTCGTACACACATAGATCTGTGACACAGGTCACAGCTGGAAGAGTGCTTCTCATTGCAGGGCCTGCCTACGTGCACAAACTTGCAGCGAAGGGCTCTGTGTGGAGAGCATGCTGAATCACTGGCCACAAAGCCATTTCCTCTTGATCCCTTCTTCTCATTTCTGTTCCCAGGCCTCATTATGTGCCATGTCAGATGCACACACACAGAACACCTCATCACAGCCAGGACACAAATGCCAAGGGAGGTGTTTGCATGAATTTCATCCTTGGAGTTAGAAGCACTTGCTCAGCTGCCAACTACAAATAGCCCCATGCTGGAAAATGATGCTAATTAGTATGCCATTAAAAAAAACACCACCCACAACAAAATAGCCACGTACAGGCCTGAAGTCCTACCCTGACAGCCAACGTGAAGCATGGCCCACTAATGCAGCCTTAATTCACTTTGTCTGGTAGAGAGAGCAAGCTCACCATGCTGCTGCGAGAGTCTCTGGGGAACATGAACTGTCGCACCACCATGATTGCTCACATCTCTGCCGCGGCCGGGAGCTATGCGGAAACCCTGTCCACCCTCCAGATCGCATCGAGGGTCTTAAGGATGAAGAAGAAGAAGACGAAGGTAAGGGCCTCCCAGGGGTGCAGTGGGTAGAAGAGCTTTTGGAGCCCTGCCCTGGGACTGGGTCATCAGGGCCAAGTCCACCCCGCTGCTCCCCAAGCGGGAGATGTGTGCAAGTGTGGCTGCCACTGTGTCCACCCTGAGGCAGGGAGATGTCCCAGCTGATGTGAGTCCTTTCCCCATGGTTGCCACTGTCCCTGGTCAACCAGCCTCAGCCCTGACAGGGAGCACTTGGTGCGCTTTATATAGTACAAGTGGATTGCTACTTTGAGATGAAAAATGTTGGTGGGCTGGGAGTATCCATGCTTCTCCCCTGGCCCACGTGGCTCGCAGGTAGATGAAGAGAGCCTCCTGCAAGGAGTTGACCACAAAGGGGTTAGCAGTTTCCCCCTGCGTGTCCTGGAGTCATTTATTGGCTGCTGGGTTTGTTGCATGAATTCAGTGGTTTCCGAGGGACACTGAATGTGCTGGAGATCACTCCGCTTGTGTCCTCTGGCAGAAGCAAAGCCAGGCGGTGGTACCATGGTGAGAATGTTTAACAAAGCCGTGGTGATTGTAGCCGCTCGAATCCGGTCCAACTGGTGATACGTGGGGCTTGCTTTCTTTTTCCTTCTCTTTTCTGTACTTTTTTTTTCTTTTTTGATGTGAAACAGGGCTTTGCACAGGCACATGAACAGCCCATAGGAAGTCAGGCAGGGCCTGTCCCGGTCACCCCTTTCCTGAGCAGTCTCTGAATCCCACTGAGTAATAGGCCCTGTGCGGGGTGGCCAAGCAGGGGGACCTTCAGTGACTCCCGCCCTTGCCACGGGAGGGCTGCCTTGGGAGCGCTACCTCGGTAACTGTGCTCTTGCTCACAGTACACATCCAGCTCCTCTGGCGGAGAAAGCTCCTGTGAAGAAGGCAGGATGCGCAGGCCCACTCAGCTGAGGCCCTTCCACACCAGGGCCACGGTGGACCCAGACTTCCCCAGCCCTCACCTGCCCAGCGACCCCGACTACTCCTCCAGCAGTGAGCAGTCCTGTGACACAGTCATCTACATTGGGCCCAACGGCACAGCCCTGTCCGACAAGGAGCTCACCGACAATGAGGGTCCCCCAGACTTCGTCCCCATTGTGCCAGCGCTGCAGAGGACCAGAACTGACAGCCGGCCTGTGGAGGCCGGAGAGGCAGCGGCTAGCAAATCGGAAAGAGACTGCTTGAAATGCAACACATTTGCTGAGCTGCAGGAGCGGCTGGACTGCATTGACGGCAGCGAAGAGCCCAGTAAGTTCCCTTTTGAAGAGCTGCCTGCCCAGCTTGGGGCAGAACAGGCCAGCAGATGCCCCCTGTTAAGCCAAGCAGCCGGGGCACACCCGCTTTCTGAGTCCGATAAGGAAGAAGACAGGTCAGACGGCCAGCCGACTGACCGCGAAGGCACGGCCGCCCCGGCCGCCGAGGAGCAGCGGGATTGCTCCCCAGTGCCCACTCCCGCCCGCTGCAGCAGCCCTGCCCCGGCCTCGCCCCGGAGTGTCCCAGGCAGCAGCAGCCAGCACAGCACCTGCCAGCTTGTGCAGAGCCCCAGCCTCCAGAGCAGCCGCGAGAGCCTGAACTCCTGCGGCTTCATGGAAGGCAAGCCCAGGCCCATGGGCTCCCCGCGCCTGGGCATCGCCAGCCTGTCCAAGACCTCTGAGTACAAACCCCCCAGCTCCCCTTCACAGAGGTGCAAAGTCTACACCCAGAAGGGGGTCCTGCCGTCCTCCGCCCCGCTGCCACCCTTGAGCAAGGACTCCGGCATGGTCTCCAGTGAGTCCTTGCTGCAGCCTGAGGTCCGTACCCCGCCGGTGGGAATGAGCCCCCAGGTTCTGAAGAAATCCATGTCTGGAGGGAGAGAGGGCTTTGCGGAGACCCCTGCTGAGGACGGGCGCCAGGCATCTTCTCCTCCAGACTCCAAGAAGGAGATCCTGAGCACCACGATGGTGACTGTGCAGCAGCCACTGGAGCTGAACGGCGAGGACGAGCTGGTGTTCACGCTGGTGGAGGAGCTGACCATCAGCGGGGTCCTGGACAGCGGCCGCCCCACCAGCATCATCAGCTTCAACAGTGACTGCTCTGTGCAGGCCTTGGCCTCAGGCTCGCGTCCCGTCAGCATCATCAGCAGCATCAGCGAGGACCTCGAGTGCTACTCCAGCATAGCGCCCGTCTCCGAGGTGAGCATCACACAGTTCCTGCCTCTCCCGAAGCTGAGCCTGGAGGAGAAGGCCCGGGAGGCGGGCAGCAGGCGCTCCTCCATCAGCTCCTGGCTGAGCGAGATGAGCGCGGGCAGTGACGGCGAGCAGTCGTGCCATAGTTTCATAGCCCAGACGTGTTTCGGGCACGGGGAGGCCATGGCAGAGCCCCCAGCCTCCGAGTTTGTCAGCAGCATCCAGAACACCGCCGTGGTGTGCAGAGAGAAGCCCAAGGCGGGCCCCGACAACCTGCTCATCTTGTCGGATGTGGCAGACGACACTTTCAACAAGGCCACTCCCATCAAAGGCTGCAAAATATCGACCCTGGGCAAGGCCATGGTCACCATCTCCAACACAGCCAATCTGAGCAGCTGCGAGGGCTACATCCCCATGAAGACCAACATCACCGTGTACCCCTGCATTGCCATGAGCTCCCACAATGTCCAGGAGACTGAGGCGTCCACCACCGCTCCCAGAACAGCCCCCAGAGCCACGCAGAACCAGGAGAGTCAGGAAGCTGGTACAAAGAAAGAGATGAAATTTGAGGACCCCTGGCTGAAGCGCGAAGAGGCAGTGAAAGATGAAAATGTGTGTCCCGGTGAAGAAGGGACTCAGTATGACAGTGCCACGGGCCCCACAAAGCCTGAGGCCAGAGCAGAGCAGGAAGCAGAGAGGAGCCCCGGCCTAGGCGACAGGCTCAGCAGCAGCAGTGGGGAAGTGGCTGCCTCCCCGGGGACCGACAACTGCAGGAGGGTGGTGGATGGCTGTGAGATGACTCTGCCTGGCTTGGGGGCCCAGAGCCCCGTGCATTGCAACAAAGGCCTGAAGTCTAGCAGCCTCCCGAGGGCCTTTCAGAAGGCCAGCCGGCACGAGGAGCCCGACAGCCTCGCCTACCGCTGTGTGGCTGACTCCAGCAGCTTCGGTGCCCAGCCGTCCAAGGCCACCCTGGAGAGGAAGGTGGCTTCACCCAAGCATGGTGCCCTGGCGCGACCCAAAGGGACCCCACCGCTGCCCCCCGTCCGCAAGTCCAGCTTGGACCAGAAGAACCGGGCTAGCCCCCAGCACAGTGCCGGCACCGGTAGCCCCTCGAGCCAGCCAGCCACCTTCTTGGCCAGCTTCCCCGAAGAGCCAGGCAGCAAGACCAAGGATGCTAGCAGCAGCAGCAAGCTCTTCAGTGCCAAGCTGGAGCAGCTGGCCAGCAGGACCAACTCACTCGGCAGGGCAACAGGCAGCCACTACGAGTGCCTGTCGCTGGAGAGAGCCGAGAGCCTGTCCTCCATGAGTGCGCGGATGCACGCAGGCAAGGACAGCACCATGCCCCGCACGGGACGGAGTCTGGGCCGCAGTGTGGGGGCCTCGTCCCCCAGCTGTGGCACCACCCAGTCGGCGGGGGCCTCGCCCAAGAACAGCCAGTCCAAGATCTCAGCTGTGAGCAAGCTGCTCCTGGCCAGCCCCAAGGCGCGCAGCCTGTCCACCTCCTCCACCAAGACCCTCAGCTTCTCCACCAAGTCTCTGCCGCAGTCGGTGGGCCAGAGCTCCAACCTGCCGCCCAGTGGGAAGCACATGTCCTGGTCCACCCAGTCGCTCAGTAGGAACCGCAGCTCAGGCCTGGCGTGCAAGCTGCCACTGCGTGCAGTGAACGGGCGCATCTCAGAGCTGCTGCAGGGCACCTCGGGTGCACGGGGCCTGCAGGCCGAGGAGCGCGGGGAGGACAGGCCAGCAGCCACCACGCACCTGCTGCCCTCACCCTACAGCAAGATCACCCCGCCGAGGAGGCCACACCGCTGCAGCAGCGGCCATGGCAGCGACAACAGCAGCGTGCTGAGCGGGGAGCTGCCGCCAGCCATGGGCAAGACAGCCCTGTTCTACCACAGCGGTGGCAGCAGTGGCTACGAGAGCATGATGCGGGACAGCGAGGCCACGGGCAGCGCTTCCTCAGCACAGGACTCCATGAGCGAGAACAGCAGCTCAGTGGGCGGGAGGTGCCGGAGCCTCAAAACCCCAAAGAAAAGATCCAATTCAGGTAGGTGCGGGGGCCACCGGGAGGGGAGAGGTGGAGGTGGTTCGCGTCCTGTGCAGCTGTGAGGTGGCGTCCAGCCCCAGGAGGGGTCAGGCCTGTCACACTGCAGGCTTGGCTGGGGACACAACTGGAGGGCCAAGAGGTTGGGGACTGCATGGCGAGGGCCTGTTCCACACCTCCTGGCTGTAGGGATGGAGGGGCCAGGCGCCTCCTCCATTGGTCCTCTTCCCCCAGTGCCCAGGCAGTGGCTTTACCTGTGCAAGGACCAAGGCCACTGGTGTGAAGAGCCTTCTGAGGGATCGGGTCAGGGCACCTCCCTGAATGGCCTCATGGCTGCAGAAGCCCAGAGGTAGGGCTGGTGGCCTCCAACACCCTGCCCCCCGTGGCTTCTCTCAAGGACATGGGACTGAGCACATGCTGGCTGTCCCACTGGAAGCACACTGGAGGTGGTCTGTCTCCCACCCCACACACTTACAGACAGTGCTGTCTCCGTGCCAGCCACAGGGCCTGCAGGGCCCTGCCAACCCGCACAGGAGGCAGCACAGCGTAGACCCACCGTGGTGGCTGGCCTGCTTTTAGAGGGGCCTCTGTCATCTCCAGAAATGTGCTGTCAAACTGCACATGCTCCTGAAGAGCTCATGTAGAAAGCCACTTGCTCTTTCAGTGGAGTTTGAGGTGACACGTGACGGTAAGTTATGATGGGAAAGGAGGAGAGGGCTGAGGTGCCCATGAGGTAGGTGAGGGGACAGGATAGAAAGGAGAGGAGGAGGCCAGAGACAGAGGCAAAGAGCATCAACACAGCTTAGGCTACTTGCGAATTCTGTCTGGAATCAATTCTGTTCTTAAATGGCTCCTAAACACATTGTCCCCGCTCATTCTTTAGCCCAAGCATTCTTTTTTTTTTAAAAAATGAATCAAAATCTTAGCCTAGCCCTATTGCACTTCTCTGCCTTGGTGGACGTGAGGATGCGGAGCCCTGTGCCCCCGCCTGTCCCCCCAGTGCCCTTCCATGGTGGGCAGGGCTCTCTCAGAGCTCTCACGAGCCCCTGCCCTGAGAGTATCAGGTCCACCAGCATATTTCAGATAAAAAGATAGGGGGATGCTCAGAAGTGGGGCCTCCCCGCCCTACCGTCCCAGCAGCCTCTGCAGTACCTGCCCCCACCAGGGTTTTCCTGGGGCTGCTTTTCCCTGGTTCCTGCCATTCCTGAACATGAGCGCTGGGATGTTCCAGCCCAGATACAAGGGCCATGATCATTGCACATCATAAACCATTCATCTTCCTCAAATCAAGGAAATTGACCTTCAGGGATACTGCAGCTGTGCATTTTCCATCCCAGATGTCATGATGTAGACAGCCCCATCCACCGACCCCATCACAGGTCCCAAAACATGGCTGCTGTCACATTCTAGGTGTGTTCAGGACCCGTGTGGCCGTCAGCACCTTGGTGTCTTTCTCTGTTGGCTGTGTGTCTCAGGCTCTGACAGGCTTGGACTGTGCCTGGCTCAACCTCAGCCTCAGCAGCAGGCCGTGGGGCAGAGCCCATACAGGACAAGCGTGACAGGCCTCTCAGTGTAACGTAACAATGGCTGTGTCCTGTGCTCAGGGCCAAGGGCACTGGAATGTAGTGCTATTAGTTGTTGCAAGTTATTATTACAAAGTTTAGCCAGCTGGAGTCTTTGTGGAAAAAAATATCTGCTGGCCTTCGCAGTACTTGGCTGGTGACCTTGTCATTACAGCCCACCTGTCTAGATGACATTTGTTGCATGGCCATGTGTTTTAGGGTTACAGGGCACAGTCACCTCCTCTAATTTAGCACCTTGAATCTCCCAAACTGTTTTGTTCTTTACTATCTTTTACTCTCTTTTTAAGACTTTCATTTATAGATTTGACAGAATGAATAAAGAGGAAGGAAAAATGCGTAAAATAATTCTGGGAGTGCAGGCAGCAGGCTCTGCCCGTGTCCTTGCTCAGGGCTGAGTTCTTTCATGACTGTGGTCCTCTGAGTGTCTCTTTGGAGGTGGGGCTATCAGAAGAAGATGGTATGAAATAAAACTGCCAGGGCAGGTGCTAGAGAGGGGATTTAGGAGGAAGCACCAAGAGCATTAGACCATTGAGATCACCCCCCATTGATCCAAACTCTGTGATGGATGTCGCAGTGGAGAAGTGCTCGTTTCAGGTTAGGTGACCTTGTCTCACTTATTTATGATTATTATTAAGAGAAGTGCTGGCTGTCAGACATGATCAACATAAATCAAAACAACTTCTTTAAGAGAAGCCCTAAAACTCTTCATAGGAAATTCCAAACTAGTTGGCTAGAGTTCACAATGACTGGAGATGCTTAGAACTGTAGGGAAGACAGGCAGTTATCTTTTATCTGGGATGGATTTTTAATTTGGAAATTGTTAATGCTTTGGTTATTGCCTTAGCTAAAAGGAATTAGAATTATATTGCTGGGAAAACAACCATGTGCTCTCTGATTCCTTTGTGATGCATGTAACAGTAGAAGCCATCAGATGCCACTGTGGCTCATTGTGCAAGTCCATACCTGGAGTTCCATGTTGGTAGAGGGTGTGCAGAATTGACCTTATTCCATTGGCTTTGCCATTGCTCAGTGAGATTAAGCTAGGAAGCACGAGCCTTGAGCTCTCATGCCGTATGACCTTTAGGGAACAACTGGCCTCTCTGGGCTTCATTTCTTGTGTACAAGTAATATGAAGGGTCTGGTAGTTAATGGCCATTGTCTCATTGCAAGAGACTTTATAAGTAATACAAAAAAATATGGATAATGATGTGACATCCTTTCCATAAGACAACCCATTGTTAGTAGGCTTTATTTTCTGTTGTTGTATTAGTCAATTTTCAGTTGCTATAGCAAACTACCTGAGATAACCAATTTAAAAGAGACAGGGTTTGTTTCAGCTCACAGTTGCAGAGGTTCCAGCCTGTGGTTGGTGGTACTACTACTACTTTGGGGCCTGTGGTGAGGCAGCCCATCATGGCGGGGAGCCATGGTGGAACAAAGTTGCTCACCTCATGGCTGCCAGGTGACAGAGAGAGAGAGAGGCTGTCCCCTTCGAAAGCAGCCCCAGTGACCCAAGACCTCCCTCCAGGCCCCCTCCCGAAAGGCTTCTCCCAATGGCACCACTCTGGGGACCAGGCCTGTCACACATTGCTCAGGCTTCTTTAGCGCACTTAGTGCTGCTGATGTGGAAGGTGCAGGAGTTTGAGGGAGGGAAAGCAGCATAAAAGACAGGGCAAGGGTCAGAGGTTCGTAATTTAATTGGAGAAAAAGTACGCAACAGAGAGCAACAGAGGCACGCGCATCTGTGCTGAGTGGGCAGGGCAGACAGCACAAAGAGCTTTCAGACAAAGACAGGATTCTGCAAGTTGGAGTGACTGAAAAGGCACCGGCAAACTTCAGGATTGGGCCGGGTCTTGAAGGATGCTCACATCTGCACAGGCAGAAGGGATGGAGGGCACTGGAGCCTGTGGTGGTGACAGGGCCCAAGCTCGGGGCAGCAGTACCGTAGCACTGAGATTAACTCAAAAAGGGGGGTTCTCTAATGAGCATAAGGAGAAACCACAAAGCGTAACGTAGGGGAAGTTGTCCCTTAACATCTGGGAACTACTGTAGGAGTATACATGAGTCCGTATTGTCCCACATAATTATTATAAGAATATACAACATATTGTTGTAGTTGCCAAAGGGGAGTCATCAGAGGTTCTCGATCAAGGGTAACGGGTTAGAGATGTCTTAGGTTACTTTTATGAATGGAATTTCACTGATCCTTCCACACTTCCTAGCCAGCCCCTCTGTGGTCAGTGATTTGAAATTGTAAAGGCTATAGCTGAATTAGAGTGATGACAGCCAGCCCAGGTAGGGAGCATATATATGTCTGCCCTGGCTGGAAGGCATGTAAGTGGCTAAGAGGATGTAAATTGTGATGTGTGGTGTATGCCATGGTGGCTCCAGCCAAGACCCTGATTCTAACATTGCCACATCTCTCATAGTCACACATTTCTTGTTACCTGAACTCTCCCCAGACCCTCTTCTTCTTCTTCTGGTTCCTTGCATCCCAGCCTAACCTTGGAGGGTTATCCTCTTGGCTTCTTCCTTTTGCTTTCTTTCTCTTGGGCTGGATGGGGAAGTCTGACAATTGGATGAGCACCCTGGCCTGACTGAAGTTCACTCCCACTGCAGGGAGGCCTGGTGCTGTGACCCAGCATTCAGGGAGCTCAGGAATGAGGGAGGGTCTATCCGAAGATACATCCCCTCCCCCAGAGAAGCAGGTTGGCCCTGAGATACACCTCGACCTTGTCCTGCCTGGACATGAGCTTCTGCAAGGCCCAGTTTGCAGTTCCAGTTTGCTCAGTACCCAGCACAGAGCAGATGCTGGTCACCAGTGGATACCACTGATTGATCCATTGATTGGCTAGTTGGCTGGTTGGCTGGTTGGTTGGCAACACAGTTTTTTTCCCGTGTATTTTCATATCTTGTCCTGCTAGCTGGTGACAACTGCTTGAAATGTTAAGTCCTGTTTCCTGTTCCTTCATTCTAAGCACCAAAGACCCTGCCTTCCCTTCTCTTGGTGTGGAGGAACCTTTCTGACCAATGGCCCATCTTGTGGCCATGATTCCCACCTGTAGTTAACTGAGCTCCTGGATCCAAGGCCAGCTCACAGCACTGCCTGAGAATCTGGGACTCATTGTCCCTCACCAGGGCCCAAGAGCACAGCACTTGGCTCTGTCGCTCACTTGGTTCTCAGCTGTGTGCCCGGCTTCTGTTTGAATGAGAACCAGAAACACATTGGCTGTGGGCTTTAAGGGAAACTGAAGGAAGGTGCGCTGTTTGCTGGCAGATTTAGGCTTCCAGAGTGTTCCTAAGAAAATCAATGAGATGAAGAAGGGTTCAGAATGAAAGAAACGTTTTGAAAATCCATTGGGGGGACATAATTAATTCTCCAAGACATGAAGAAAGCACCTGAGAAGAGCCCCTCAGAAG